TGTTTGAAGTGAATAATATTACTGTAGTGTTACCATTTAAAACTTTTAATCCTTAAATAAAGTAGATAAATAATCGTTACATCGCTTTCTTAAAACATAACTTTAAAGCCTATGGTTTAATCTGAACAGAAAGCTACAGCTTTTGATGTTTTGTGTATATATGATATAGTATATGATATTTTATTCAGTTCCGTTGCATTCTGAAATTTTGATGTGTAACAGCAAGTAAATGAAAAAATGTTAATGGGCAATACTGAAACTATGCTTTTTTCCCTACTACGTCTTCACTGATACGTCAGTGATTTTGCCAATAACTTAGTACTTGTAGATCGACTAGGCTGAGGACATGACAATATTAACCTACTGTATTAAACCACTTTCGTACCAGTTGCGTACCTGTGAAGAGAGGAACAAAACACCTCATTAGTAATACACGGTCATTAGTAATGAGAATCAACCATACACAAATAAAAAGAGAAAAAAAAAGAACAGGAACAAAAAAGGCGGAAACTATGCTTTAGAGTAACGTAGGCGTTTGACATATTCACAGCCGTTTAGGGATCTGGAAAGTGAAGAAATGTTGATATATCGATACTTATCTTAAATATTAATATCGACCTTGATTAATCGAAGAGAAAATATCGATATATTGAACAGGAAAAATTGATACATGGATGTTTGCTCTTTTAGCTCCGTTGTCCAAAAAAGGTATATCAGGTATTAAAAATTCTACTGTGTGCCGGATCCGCATTTGAAAAAATATAGTTTTGGATACGATTTCGATATTGAATATTTTTTCGATATCGATATATCGAATCCAAATATAAGGACTATCGAAACATAAAATCAAAAATAACGATATATTGATATTTTTACGAATTACGATGCTTTATAATACAATCTCTATTAGATCTACACATAAATATGTATTGTGTATAGCCTTCATTCAGTGTTATACACAATACATTTTATATATCTAAAAATGAATCCCTATTTCCCTTGGTCACGCCATCACGCGTGAACGGCTGGATCGATTTAACTTTTTTTTTGTTGTGTTTGTTATTATAAGGCGAAGGTTCTTATGATAGAAAAAATTTAAAAAATTGCCTGGAAAAGTCTAAAAACAACACTTTTCTATATTCCCGTACAAAAGATTCGTAATAATACTTAAAAATCAATTTGAACTTTAATACCATACCATAAAGTTTAAATTTTAGTGGAGGGGGTCTGGGAAGGCATAACAAGTGAGTGACTGTGGTAAAATGTCAGTTGAAATGTAAACGTCTCTTTGCTGTGCAAGGGGAGGCCGCTTTAGAGTAAACAAATGCAAGCACTGGGCAGAATCGGTAAAAAAGAGATAATGCTCAACAAGAGAGCGAGAAAGCCATTCTATTCTGGAAGAAGTTCTTTTTTAGGTAGATTTTACCAAATTTAAACTATAAATTGAATGTAGCTAATAACAAACAACTTGTGCATACTTTAAAATATATTAAAAAATACTAAGGCCCCTTGATTTTCCGATCTTGCACAGGAAGTAGTTGCGGAGGCTGCACACCTCGCGATTATGCATGGCGAGACCCCTCCCGCCATGCTTCCGGGGCAGGGCCAGCCTCATCACTGACGGTCTTGGATGATGCATCCGTTGGGACGTCATAATTGTGCATAGTTATTATTATTATTATTGTAGGTATACTTTATTGCACAGCAAAGAATTTAATACAATAAGAGTAAAAAAATTCTTAAAAGCTAGGTACAACAAGGCGGACTTATCGCTAAAAAGCGATAAAACAATAATATATTTGTGTTGTGCAAATAGACACATAAACTGTAATTAGTACTTATATCGTAATCGTAAATCTTATTTTTCAATAATTATAATTCAATAGTTATTTTTCGTAAATAATTTTAATTATTTTTAAAACTAGAAAACATTAATACTATTCCATTTAAAAATATGAAAAAACAAGAACAAAACTTTTTTTTAAGTGGCAAAGTGGCAGGCGAGCTGACGGTCACCTTATGTTAAGTGATAACTGCCGTCATTTGCATCACCCGTAGTGTTTCAAATGTTTACATAAAGTGGGCCCCGGTTACCTCAATCACCACACGAAACGCAGAAGTGTTACACTTCTACTTTATGCTAATCTTCTGTGAGGTCGTGGTACTTATCCGGACGGAACTGCCCATTCGTTCAACAGTGAACACTGTTGCGTGGCCCTACCGTATAAGTAGCAATTTTCGGGCTTAATTTGACGTTATAAATGATGTATAAAATAGTAAAATAGTACACACATGATGTGTATGTAGGCAGCACAAGAGAGAAACACAATTCTATATAACATACCATTTATTTAATAATCTAATGCCCAGAACTTTAAAAAACATATTTTTGCCCACAAAACTCACTATTCCAACTTAAAACAAAATTATTTCCTGTATTTTTATAGACTATAAACATAAAACTTATGCATATAAATATATATATATATATATATATATATATATATAAATATATATATATATACAGGGAGGCTTTTCTAAGTTTATCCATTTCTTTTATTAAATTCTAGACATAAATAATGTTAAAATTTTAAGGGCATCCCCTACAAAGTTTGACATTGCTGGCTTGAAAGAAGGTAAAAAGGATTTCTTAATTGCATGCCCAAGTCAAAAATTTCCAGTTTCTTCAAATTCACAGAGGAGCTGGAACGATATAAACTGCAAATTGACTTATGACAATCTTTTGAGCTGTAGTACAGGTTCGGCGCGTGCTAGGCTTTTGGGCGTGGGTGCGCATTAGGCTGGCTACTGGCTTCACGCATACCCTTTGCCGAATACAGGAACATTTGTTGAGCCTGACACGCTCCGAATCGCGATCTATCTACGGCTTGGGGTTCCAAAAAGTGCAGGCCGCTTCCCGAGATATGCCGCACTTAACGATATGATACGCCGGTCCGTTGCCACCGTCAACGTGCTAAGTCTACTTGAGCCGACTGGTATTGCAAGACACGATGGCAAGAGACCGGACGGTATGAGTTTGATTCCATGGAAGACGGGCCGGGTGCTGGTATGGGATGCAACCTGTTCAGACACGCTGGCCCCTTCCCATCTACATGGAACCAACAACTGAGCTGGTGCGGCTTGTGAAGCGGCTGAAAAAGCTAAAGCTATCAAATACAGGGGTCTAGGCCCCGAATATGATTTTTTCCCACTCGGTGTCGAGACCCTTGGTCCGTGGGGTCCTAGGGCTATAAGGCTTTTTAAGGAAATAGCAAAAAGGTTAGTCGACGTCACAGGAGATCAAAGAGCTGACAGCTACCTCGGACAAACAATTAGTCAAGCTATTCAAAGGGGGAACGCTGCCAGTATCTTCGGAACCTTGCCTAAAGGGACTTTAATAACATATTTTAGTTATTATATTATATTTTTTAAGGTTTTTAGTTTTAGGCTAGAGCTATATTATGTGAACATATTAGTACTATCGTCTATAATATATGCTTTTTGTGTTACCTCAAAACATTAAATCATTGTTGGATTTTAAATAATGTTATATAAATAATGATAACTATTTAAAATCACTCGTAATCAATTAATTACATTCATTTGAACTATCTATATATCATAAAGTGCGTGATTTATAGGCAACTCATTTATATTACGCGCGATCATTCATAACTAACACGCACACAAGTTCGTTTCAAAAGTATACGACGCATTTATGAATGACTACCGCATTGTCAACATGTGGCAATTATTTTGAAAAAAAAAAAAAGTTTGTTTTTATTGCAACAAACGATTATACTGCCGAATCTGAAACTATTGTGTGAATTTGAGCACCTTTAGAAAAGCCACACTGTATAGTGTGTGTATTTTTCTTATTATTCTTCTTATTTTTTGGAAAATGCATATGTTTTCTGTGTATGAAACTACGGAATGAAGTAATTAGTATTATAAAAATGGACAAAAAGTTTTTTACGCATTTATGAATGACTACCTCATTGTCAACATGTGGCAATTATTTTGAAAAAAAAAAAAGTTTGTTTTTATTTGAATAAACGATTATAATAGTATAATCGTTTATTGAAATAATGTGTGTGAATTTTTTGTAATTTTTTATTGAAATAATTGTGAGAGGGTGTGAATTTTTGGGCACCTTTAAAAAACAGCGTGTCGTTACCATCGCGACAATAAATGAACTCACCTCTAACCCTACTTGCCAATAATCATAAAAAAATATTAACGTTAAACAAAAGTCATAATTAAAAACATATATTTTTCAAACAAACTAATTAAGTAAAAATGAAACCAAATTTGTAACGTTCTATACAACTCGCGCCACAGCGTCGCATTACAAGCCTCTCCTTCTAACAGTATGTTTTGTCTATTTTAAATTCATTCTGAATGGGTGATTCATATGCTTTGTGACCCTTACAAATGAACTTTACGTTACGCTTTTATAGGTAAGGGTGTTCTAAAATTCTTTGTTCTGGAAAATTTAATAACTCTGTAAATATTGATGATTAAAGAATTTAAATGTTTAATACAACTTTAAAAAGTTATTCCCTATATGTGTGTTCATTTATTGTCGCGATGGTAAGGACACGCTGTATATCAGGTTTCATTATGCATATATTGGTTGAAAAATTTGCTCAAAAATATAAAATACTTACTAATTCTCAGACCGTTATGATTAAATAGATGAATTGTTACAATTTTTCGTAAGCTAGATTCTAACAAAGATTTGCTCTTTAGTTGAAAAGTTTACCTGTGGTTTCACGTATCATTTAAACTGACTTTAAACGTATCATTAAACTACATTATTACGTGTAACTAATTGTCATGGTTTAGAAGCTTTTAACATCAAATTATCGATAGATTAAACTGCACCAAACACTAATCAGTTATCATTACATTTCTACAGTTTTTTTTTAAATCATAATAATAAAGGTAATTAATGAATATGTATCAATAAATTCTAAGCTACGTTTTACAGTTGGCTAATCTATTTCTAGTTTTCTAAAGCTTCCTTTTATTGAAACTGAGTCTTTCGTGGGTTTGCTTTTGGACGATGTGATCCCTTCGGTGCTTAGGATTTCCATGTCGTCAAGTGCGAGCAGTCTCTTCCTCTGCTCCGCAAGAAGCTGTTTTGTATAACTGACCATGTCTTCGAGTTCAAGCGGGCCACCGTAAGCGGTAGGCAGGCAAGAGACATCGACGTGCTTGTGCAGTTGTTTCAGGTTTGCGTGAATCTGAAATATTTCTTTTATGAGAAAAGGTGGCAAACGAACTGACTATTAAGCTGATGCTAAGTGATGACCGCCGCTCATGGACGTCTACAACATCATAGGGGTTGAAGATGCATTGCCAATGTAAAATAAAGTGGGGCCCGATTACCTCAATCACTAGACGAAACGCAAAGGTATAATACTTCCACATCACGCCGGACTTCTTCTATAAGGCCGTTGGAGTTTCCCGGATGAGCCTGCCCATTCGTGCAATAGCAGAAGCTGATGCGTGGCCCTACCACGGTATATGAAGTAGCTCAAGTAGCTTCGGTGCTCCGTGGCCGATATAATTATCAAATTGTACTTGGCGACCACTACATTAGTTACTGTTAACGGTAATGAAAATATGGCAATGGATGGTTCGCCAGCCGTAGGAGCAGGTATGTTGTAAGCACCTTGATATCACGTAACAACAACAGACAAGTACAAAATTATTCTAAAAGTCATTTTAAGTAATCGGGTAATCGGTAATTTTATTATTACCAAAAAATAATTAGAAGTTACGTAACGCTTGTTTTCGGTTGGCCTATTCGTGTTAGTGAGAGCACTTTCGTATGCTGTTGTTGCTCTTCCTCAGCATTACTATTTACATTAGTATCAAATGTTACTTACATTCAATCTTTGAGCCATTTTGGGAGAGACTTTGCTGGCAGCGAAATCGATAATGTACTTAATGGTTGATGGGATGTTGACGAGATGGAGCTCCTTGTGTCGCATCGGGACCGATTGCTGAAATTATAATTTGTTGTGATGTGAGTAGAATCTTCACGATAATCATAAAAAGGTTAAGGTTTTTGGAAACCTATGATTCGATGACGGACGTGTAGCTACTTTTTGAACGTTAAGTAAGGATGATGAATTCGGTTCCTTAGTGATTTATAAACAAGGTGTTTTTAACGCTGAATAATGTGACTTTTTTAATCGGGAAAGAAAGTATACTAAAAATGATCTCGATTATTTTCACGCTCGAATTTGAAAAAGGAAAGCTCCTTTTTCAAATTCGAGCCAAGGCTGTTTACTTGATGTATTTATACCGACGCCATGGAAATCTTACGTATTAACGCCACCGCAGCTACAGATTTGGCGGTTTAGGTTAGGGCAAATAGGAAGCGGGCGACATCATACTTGTGTCGATAGTTCGTTTTTTTTTAATTTAATGAGTCACAGAACCGACACAGAGCGAATCCGACTGGGATAGATTAGGTTAGCTGTTCTTTTTTTCCTTCGTGGTTAGGTTATTTTTTATGACCACCAAGAAATACGAGCAGAATTGACATATTGACCACAAACAAATGGTAGAAAACTGCGTGCACGTGAGAACAACAAGATTGCACTCTATTGGCTTATAGGCGCAACTTATTCTACTGCGGTGGCGTTAATACGTAAGTATCGAAATCTCCAACACCCGATGGCTTGTTGATGCATTGATAACCTTTAAAAAGTGGGTTACCTGACTCACCACGACGAAACGAGAAAGTTTATCACTTCACGCCGGTCTTCTGTGAGGCTTACTTACTTCCCCGGACGATCCTGCCCATTCGTAACTAAATTTTGAAATAATTAAAGTACGAATATCACTATAAAATATACAACATGATTTATAAAATATATGACAATATTACGTAGGCACATATACTTATATATGCATTTGTTATATGTATGTATCATTATATAGAAATTATTAACACTAACCCTTCACATGATATCGTAATAATAAGAGTATAATGTAGATCGAAATTAACTTTATAATTAATCTTTAAAATTCTGTAAATGTTATTTGTACATTATTATCAAATAGATATCATATGAATATAATGAAACGAATTTTGTCTCGCAGTCTTTTAACCACTGTGATCCACTTTTAAATGTAAAAACAAACACCTTAATTCAAACTTAAATTAATTCTTCCAAAACATAAACATGAGTAATTATGCACCTGTAAACATGTAACCTCGACCACGAATGTGCTAAAGCATGTCTAAACTGGTTGGGGAACGGGCCAAGGTTGGAATCATAATATGCGATGTAAGATGTAATTAGGGTTGCCAACTGTTTTTGCGAAAAATAAAGCATCTCATATTTCAGGTAGAGACAAAAAAGTACTTTTGAAAAAATGTTTTTGATAAATCATAAAATATAATTAACAGCAAACACTTCGTATTTGAAAGTGTTCTGTTTTAACTTAGAAGTATCGATAAATGTTCAGTAATTATTCACATACATTTTAATTATTTTATTTTATGCATCACGGTAAATATTGAAATACCGATGACAAGTATAAATATAAAAAAAATCATAATTGTATCATTCGTTTTCGAACTATTAATGACTAAGCAACTCAATTTGGAAGAAAGTTCCATATCGCGCGCCGAAGGACCCGCCTTAAGCGTTTGGACCTCAGTCGTGAAGAAAAGGACGACAGGTGCTGAACCGAATTGTGACTGGATATGAATGTTGGGTTCATCAATCAATCATCAAAGTTTATCTGAGTGTATGTAAAACTCCACGTAGTGTCATAAAAAGGGTGCAACACCTCCTAAGAAATTTAAGATGTCACAATATGCCGGAAAACTCACGGTGATTGTTTTTTGGAACTGAGAAGGAATTTTTTGATCGATAATAAGAATAAAAGAATCTCTATAACTGGAGAATACTGCGCAAAGAGCGGAAGAAAAAACAACAGCAGATGTGTCTGGCTCTTGATATTGGCTCTTGTTTGAATTGATATTTTTCTGGTTATTTCTTGTCAAAATAAAATATTAATATTTTTTTGAACTATTGAATGCTCAATTAACTTTATTTCAAAGTATTTACTTTTTCTAAAAATCACCCTGTATAGAAAAAGAAAAATAATTTAGAGCTTTTATTTTCCCTCCTTGCCAGGGGAAAATAAACTCGCATCTTAAAAAATTTCGCGACCTTAAAAACGTCGTACATCCTGAAGAGCCTTTGCATTCAAAACACGTTCTCAAGAAAAATAAGTTAACAATTAGTAATTACAGGGCCACTCGCTACGTTTAAGTAACGACTTTAATTTTATGAATATGTAACATTTCATGTGTCTTCCTTTTCAATTATTTTAATTAACAGATAAAAAAGTACATATTATTAATTAATAGACAGACACTAGGAAAACTTAACTGTGCAGTAACGATGACTACTGCCTAAGACATTCGTATCTGGACTTGTAAATCTGTGTCCGGTGCATCCGTCTTTCTCGTCCCCATATTATTTGCTGCGCGAACTTAATACAAGACGTCCGAATTGAGACGTTTTCATGTTCTCACTTTCGGCGCATTAATAACAGTACCCGGAGGACCTTTGGGGGAGCTTTGCTCGGTTTGTTTTTTTATTGGTAAATCGTGTGTTTTGGAAATTACATTTAGATACAAATTACCGAGTAATGAAATATGCATAATATTTTTCGATCTTACCGAAGTAATAATAAAATAAATAAAGCAATGATCTGGAATAGAAAAAAAAGTAAAAAAATAAATGTGTAAATGATCGTGACACGAACCACGGCCTTCTGTTTCGGGGCCGCCCGATTACCGACCGAGCTATTATAACATTTTTTTTGCGGCGAAATTTAGCGTCGTATTCGAATGATATTTTTCATTCCCTGAAAACAGGGATAAAAGGACATTTTCTAAAATTGAAACCTAGCTAGATCGATTTTTCGCCCCCGAATCTATGCACATACAAAATTTCATGAAAATCGCTGGAGCCGTTTCCGAGATTCCGATTATATATATATACATATACATATATATATATAATTGCTCGTTTAAAGGATAACAGATATCTGTTGAGTTATAATATAATTGAACTTGAATATTAATAAGTGACCTTGACGGTCCCGAATAAGGTCAAGGTTTTGACTTAAATTCATATCATAAATGCAAATAATATTTTTTTACGAGGGCTTAAATCTTAATATATATAAATTACGTGTCACGTCGTTTATCCGCGATGGACTCCTAATCTACTTAATCGATTTTAATCAAATTTGCACACCGAGTGCAGTGTGATCCAACTTGAATGATAGGATAGCTTACAGCCCAATTTATAGTCTCAATATTACTTTATTTGCAAATTATTTGTTTATTAGATGACATAAAGTTACAGTTATCTGTCAGTTCTATGGCGGTGTAAGGTAAATTTATTAAGTATCCATGATGGCGCTATGTTAAAGGTCGAAACGTATGGACCTGGTAAATTTGTCGCAGACGTTGTTGCACGGTCCAGCTAGTAGTAAATAAACAAAGACATTTGAGGCAGTATCGGCTTCGTACTTGACATCTCTTAGGGAAAAGAGATAGAGTGCTAGCTATAGTTAAGTATGTAATATCAGCATGTGTATACACTTAAATTGAATTCATTCACAAATATAGGGGATATTTTTTTTAAAATTGTATTAAACATTATATATATTATTTACATTCTTTAAACATCAATATTTACAGATTTATTAAATTTTCCAAAACAAAGAATTTTAGAACACCCTTACCTATAAAACTGTAACGTAAAGTTCATTTGTAAAGGTCACAAAGCATATGAATGGGTTGAATGAATTTATATATATATATATATATTACAATAAGAGGAACGGTTAATAAAAATAAGTTGACAAATTTTAAAATACGCATAGTATATACTCAAACAATATTGCATAAATACGTTAAAAATTTGAAAAATAAATCTTTTTTCAATACGTCAGCCAATTCTCGTTATCAGAAATCATCTTTAGTTCCGGAACGCGTTCCTGTCCAAAAAGGAAGTACCGGAACGACTTTCCGGAGCGTTCCGGCTCGACAACACCACTGAGTATAACGTGGTGAGCATTTACACTCTTAGGATAATGCTTAAATCGCGTATAATAAACATGGAGAAAGGCACCCACCTCTCCCCACTTGAGGATCCTGGCGAAGTCAGAAGGGTTCCACGCCGTGATGTGAGCGCTAGTCACGCCAGTGCCTTCGCCGACGTGGGTGAAGCCCAGGATCTGGTCAGCCTGGTCGTCCAACAGACTCTCGTATACAACTATGTGCACCCGGCACATATCCCAGCAAGTGAACTTGTTTGCGTTGAATTTGCCTGCCGACATGTAAGCGACATACTCATCCGTGACTTGCTAAAAGCGATGTCTGTATAGTATACGATATACAGGACAGTTGAAACAGGACGTATTATTGCCTGTATCAAATCGCAGGCATGTTTTACTAATTATTACCGTGAAATGCTCTAGTTATTAAGATTAAAATATGAAACTCTGCGATAATTATTCAAAATACCGCCGAAAGTGGTTATTATTTTCGGTGGAAAACAAAAAACTACAGGACGTAGTAATGCACTGCAAATCGAGGTTCCATATTTTATCCGTCAAAAGTAGCGTGGCTATGAAAAGCGTCACGGCAAGAATAAATTATCTTATTTTATACATTCAGTTCATAAATTTATCTGTGAATCGAAGGATTTTTTGTACTTGTCATATTTGATTGCTGGAATCTAATCAGAAGATCGATTAAAAATATCCATTTATTTGCTTGCCCACAGCATAACAGGTTTTTTATGCGAAGGTACTAAAAATTATTACTAAGAATTAAGGTATAAATTAACAAAATTGATGAATATTATGTTGTAAAATTTAGAAAAAAAGCGGCTTAATGTATGTTGATAGTATTCAAATATGTTTAAAAAAAACACGTATTCGCACGAAGTACATAAACAACCGATATATACAATTTTAAACACAAAACTTCCATGTTTTTTTATTAATATTATATTCTTTTTTAACAGACTTCAAAAAGGTCAAGTTATCAAATCGGGCAACTCCGTTATGAATAGACGGATTTGCAAAATTCTTTTTTGTTCGAAAGGAGATTATTCCGAAATAGTCTCATTAAAATTTCATATAGACTTCAAAAAATTACAGCAAATCAACCGTGATTCTGTTATCGGATATATATGCATTGTTTACGCAATCACATCATGCCTGTATCCTCGAAAGGGTTACGCATTCTATAAGGGATGTAATCAGTATATCACGGTACACCCACAAAAACTACTTCTTTCAAAGTTTTTTTCGTGCTGGTTTTAAAAAAAATATTTATCGGTCAGCTTTGATTGACTATGAGAATACACCAAGGATGATGAAATAAGTCCACGCAATTTCTTACGTCTGCCGAAGCTCTTTCATCATGCAGCCTGTTGTTTAATTTATTTGTCTCTCGATCACATATTGCTATTCCTTCTAGGGTTTTCACGTAAAGCTACGAGTAACATATATACCTGAACTTCAGCGAAGTTTTTTTTTCCCTAAATCTATGACGGCTCTATCCAAAATTGTATCTTGTAATTTATGAGCTGTAACTGCTCAGCTGAATATTAAGGGCAACATCTTTCGATCTATTGCTAACACTGTCGTCAGGCCTATCATTACAAGGTCTATCTATACTTTATAATACCTACGAATTAAAATTACATCACTGAAAATAAAAAGTTAAGATAGATTTAGTATAATTTTAAACTTTTTATTGCTATCATTTTTTTTGAAGTCGGTTTTTTTGTTAAAAAAAAACTATTTATTGGGATAAACTGACTTGTCACCAATAAAAGTTACAGTTTTGCTAAAATCGCGTTGCCTTTATTAAGAATAAAGATGAAGTAATATCGCCACCCTTATTCATGCGGTTTTTGAATTCATACTTCTTCTAGCGCATTTAGAAAAATTATAAGTAAAATTTTTACGATGCTCATTAATGATGTTTTAATAAAGGTGATGCATGTGCATGTCCATAATGCGCGGTGTTTAAAAATTCTTCCGCTTCACATTATATGACATATAACAAGTGAACATGTCATATGGTATAAAACGTACGATACGGAAAGAGGCAGTAGTCTCAGTTTTGGTGGACTAGTGCCATCTCTCTCTCTCTGTCGGCGACCACCCCACGGAATTCTTCTCTATTCTGCACCAATCTACAAAGACTGACGGCGTCTTTGATGTCTGTCCATTTTTTCAAATTGTCGCTCCATGTTATTCGTCTTCGTCCTCTTCCCCTTTTTCCTTCAATTATATTTTTCAATATGTTATATTTCTCATGTCTATATATATGTCCAAAATATGCGGTTTTACGTTTTTTTAATAGTTACCAATATTTCTAGCTGTTTCTTCATTCTATTAGTATTTCTTAATTCTATTAGTTCTTTCTAGTGCCATATCTACCGCGTATTTGTATAGTTATATATCATTGATGCGCACGCACACCGACAGACTAAAAGCGACATGATGAAGTTGGTTACAAAGCGACCAAGTCCATGAAATCAATAACAACTATAATTCAGAGTTATTTAATTAAACGGTTATCCATCGCATTTAACGTCTTTTTCACGAAAATAGTACTGGCACAGTATTTAAAATATTCAGTTATTATTCTTTTGTTACGCTAAAGTACAACTCCTTACGTGCGTACATTAGTACACACATACTTTCCTTTAAGCCGTCAGACTCGCTAAGAACAGTTGATTTGTTACATGAAATAGAACTTACTCATGTTGTATACGATAACCCGACGTCCCTTGCCGTCTCGAACAGGAGAAACAACAATGTACCTAGAAGTGAGAATTAGTTTTTTTTATTTTGAGGCGAATTAGCTGCTGGATGCTCTGAAGCTGAAAGTTAGCCGTCATCGATGGGCTTCCACAACACCCGTGAGGTGGCAGTAGCCCTTGTTACGAGGGTAATCCTCTTGAACAGTGGGCTGTTAAGTCACTAACATACGAAACTTAAAATTATAAATATTCCTACTTAAGCCCATCTTCTAAGAGACCAAGGTAATTCCCCGCACAGTTCTAATCTCAATTGACATCGAAATCAATTTACGAACGTTGAAATAATCACCGCTGAAATTAGCGTCCGGATTATGGCGATAAGCCACCAAGTAATAACTCCGAAAAAAAATTCTAACGCCGAGGTAGAAACACACCTCACCCCGTCTGTGTTAAGTGTATCGTATTATTTAACAGTGGAAAGCGGTTATATAAATTCGGAACCGGTAGTTCAAGGCTGTGGAGGCTGTTACACTCACGTGGGCTGAAAAGTTCAAAATGTGACGTAAATAAGAGCAAATTGCTCAATTTAATGGCAAAACACCAAGCCCCTTGCGCAGTCGAGTGGGTCATAATCCTTTTATTTGTCGTACGCGCAATTTTTGCGGAAATTTCCATTTAAGACCATTACAAAATCAAGATCAGCAAGAGGTCATGCGAATCACGTCACATTAGAAGTGAACATGTGCCACTATGATTTTATTCATGAAATGAGCACATGAACAGCTGAAGCATATAAATCGGGATCGCTTACAAATAAATATACAAGAAATAATGATGTTTAATATTTTAAAGGTTTTTTTTTAACCTTTTTTTAACATTGCCCTTACTTTGGAATAACATTATCGTGTGTTGTAATGACATTTTACAAACATAAATTTTACGCGGACAAACAGCCAGATGCGAAACAACTATCTGTGGGTCACACAAATAGTTGTCCCGTGTGGGAGTCGAACCCACGACCCCCGACGCCGAAGTCGAAATTTGAATAATATTCCTACAAATCTTTCTATGTTCCACATAACGCCTTTTTTAATGTCCCGGAAAAAGTTACTTATTAATGTTATTAATTATTGATTACAATAGTAGTTTGCATACTAGAACTGAGTTCCAGTAATGTTACACTAGGAATCTTACCCGTTATTAAGTATCTCAGCAACCCTGGAGTCTTCGTAGTCTAGTTTTGAGAAACATTCCGGGTAGTATTTTCTCAAGCTTAAATACTTTAACAACGTCTGCTGGGCCATGGGTATACTGTACTTCTTCTGACGCAGAAACCGTAATAAGAAATTATCGTCTGGAAAATTAAAAGCAGTTGAAATACACTATATAACTTCATCATTGATTTTATTATGAACAAGTACTTAGAAGAACTCGAGAATTTTTTTAAGAAAAATAAAAATGTTAAATCTGCATTAAAAAATATGTATGGAACATTTTTTATTTCTTCAATAAATTAAAGATATAAGTACTCATATAACATTTTTTTCTTTATGATATTTCACAACCTGTATTGGCTGAGAAAAGTAGATGCAATGTAAATCTCTATTTGTTTAATTCACATTGAAATAATGCATTATGTTTATGAAGTTTCAGTGCATTAAATTGCGTATTAAAATTTTTCAGCTATCGCACATTGATCGAAAAATTTACCATATTTCATAAAATTTATGGAGTGACTTATTATGTACAGTATATTTTTAAATTCTTTGTCGACGCTTTACTCTGTAAAACTGTTTAACAGCAGGTTATTATTATTTGATATGGACAGAATTAATGTTTAATTCTATTTTATGTTCGTGTATTATACATTTTATACATAACCTGTTTCTATGTGTTCTTTTATTATGAATGTTATCTATGCCAAATCTAATTTTCTCCCTGGGCCCAATATTCTAAACGAATTTTATATAAAGAAGAAATATTCTACAAACATCATGGAAAATTGTTTTGTTAACATTATCCAAGTGCGTGAAATTCTGATTAAAAAGTCAGACGTCTTTATGTCTCTAAGACGTAGGAGGGGATTAGTATGCTTTTTCCGACCTAATGCAGCTAATAAAATAGGACAGCGGCAACTAGCTAGCTAGTTTCTAGTAAAAAATAAATAATGATGTTGTACTAAGAAGTCTTTATAGTATTAGGGAATATTACATTCGCAATATCTTTTATCACAGGCCAAGAAGGCCTGATATGGCGGCATGGTGGCACTCGCAATATAGTTTTCAACACGATGATCTACCATTAAAAATTAAAAAGTCGCCAGTCACGTACACCCCAATTCAACCGGCCTTCAAGACGACAAGTTGCACAATTAAAGAACGTAATATTTTTATCGGTCGAAAAACGAGTACTCTCTCTCTCTTTCGACTATTTAAAATATTCCGTAAAACGTTGTAATTAAAATAATCGTTTTTTAAGTTCCGACTACAAGTTTCAGTTCTTAAGCATGGATTGCAGTATTTAAATGGTCGTGATGGTTAACTCTTCTGGGTTCCATTCCCTCATGGGACAAAATATAATGTTAAACGCAAATACTTATTCTGAACCTGAGTGCCCTCTACTGCCGTCATTACCAGTTTTTAGAATCAAGGATGTCTATTTTCGCGCATTGCGGATATGAATCTAAATCAAAGTAAAATTTCCTGTATGCACGTCTAAAATAAACAACCGGTTCACTAACTAAGACTTGCCCAGAAAAGAACCAGCAAGAAACGGTACGGTATGAGCTCAACCATCCATGAGAACGAAAACTCCTTTCATGGATGGACGTGCTCATTTTCCTACAGTAATAAGTTTCCTAAGTAAGTCTTAATGTCGTAAGAAGTCGCTGGATGAAGTCGTAAGAACTGAATGAATTTAAATGATTATCGTGATCGAACAGAATATCAGATATGATACCTTCTACCGCATATAATAAAATATTTTTGAAGTACATTAATGCTAACTAGACTTCAAAGGCAAGAACTGGCAAGCGTTCAATTCGCCAGCCGGCGAGCAGTAGTCATGGGAAAAAGATCAGTTCGAATAGAACTCTACTATTTCATTCCGTAGGTATCGCTCCAAAGTGTGTTAATATATTCAAAGTTAAACAAGCAAGTGCCCAAGTAAAACATCAAAATCTGCCAGTGCACCCTCACCCTGTCTCACGTTCCTGACGTCGCCGTTCTTCTGTAGCCATTCCCTCATGATGCGCAGCGTTTGCTCCCTGATGGAGGGACTCTCGCGAAGCTCGCGGGCCGCGACAGCCGCGTGGTTCCATGGCGGCCTGTTCGCGCACTCCTTATCACAATTCTCGCTGGCAGCGCCCCACGCCGTGCCCACTGTCAGCAACACGCTCGCCGTGGTCATCGTATCTGCTGGTAATAAGTGGTACGCTTTCTACAATCCGTGATTTGGTGACTCCGCGGTGCAGTTGCTAAGGTAATAGCTTCGGCGCTGAGACTCGTGGGCTTGATTCCCACACGGGACAATTATTATTTATTTGATAATTGTTTCGGCTCTGGGTGTTTGTTCAGACAAGACAGGATAATGCAATGATAAAAATAAATTTATTTTTAGTGCGAGTTACTCAACAACTCATATTAAATATCGTGTTAAGTGTGTAGCTGACACTTAACATATTCTGTGTAGTTAATAGTGGAAAATTTTTTCTTCGCTGCCAAGATAGTGGTTTTCACAATTTACATATATACATTTTGTCCCCGAACAAATCTTCGGGATTGTCTTGACTGTCACGTTTTCCGAAACCGCGCGAAATTTTTAAACCACGCTCGTCAGACATGATCATTTGAAGTTTTGTTGTTTTGAAATTTTTCTTATAATTATGCCGAAACCCAAGTGTTTATTTAATGTCAACATACAAACAAAATACCCATTTATTAAGCAAATGAACACTCCTTCGGATGTCAGATGCGAAAAGTGTCGCACAGTTTAGTGTTTCCCATAGTGGTGCTGGTGATATTGAACAGCTCCAGTTCTGAAAGCGATGCTGATAACAAAGGTCAACATAAAAGAAACGTGCCAAATTTTATTTTTATTTAAAATCGTCACCTTCTTTATTAAAACAAATTTGAAGATGAATATGAGAAATATAAAATTATTTAAAAACATACCAATGTTGTTGTTGTGATGATTTTTTTTGTATCTTTAAATTTTAATCTTTTCGGAATAAATAAAATTAAAAAGTTATGTTTATTTTCATTGAAAATCAATGTCCCGTTTTGAGTTAGTAAAAAAGTGGTCAGTTTAGTAATGACAGACTTTTGATACTTATTTCATTATTGATACCACTTTTCGGAGTATAAAACTATTTATGATATTGTAATGGTCAAAGTTAATTTTGAACAACTGTATATGAATGTTATTATAATAAATGTTTATAAATTTCAAGTTAAATATTAAACGACCGTTTGGAGAGTTATACCGATCACGTGAGCGCCATTACCCTTTAACCACTTTTTTTTTATAGACATGTTCAGAAATTGTCCACGAACCACTGTTAAAGCGGCTTGGAGCCTTTCAATCTTCTTCTTCACGAACAAAGAACAACTCCTCTACCTTTTGCTGCTTTAACAATGACGCCAACTAGCCCTAAGATATAGGAAACAACATACTACTGCGACTCCGATGAAAAATTTACAAGATAAAAAAATTTAAAGATTGCGAAATTTAATAAAATCAAGACAAAAAAAAAGATAAAGGAAAGAAGAATAAGAAACAAAAATTATGGAAACGAAAGATTCTACAAGAAAGTTCTTCAGAGATGAAGATGAAGAGCATGACGAAATGAAGGTGGGTGATATGTATGTACCCAATGATAGAATCTTACTATTTCTTATAGTGATTACATCTAATAATAATAATTGAAGTATTACGTCACGTACGAAATAGGTATAATTGATTATAGACCTTATTTTAATTTATTAAGGTTGATTTCACGCTTAGAGATGTAACAAAAATGGATCTTATTAAACTTGTTTCCAAAAAAAAAAAAATTGGAGCCCGGGGCAATTGCGCTCTAACAAGTTTTTTTATAGTAGTTTCCTAATACTTATAAGTCTAAAATAAATACGTTTGGTCTTAAAATGAAGATTACTGAATATTTAAAGAACATGTTATGATTTAAAAATTTCAAGTAAAATTAATATTTTGAAAAATACACAGTTTTCCCCTAGGCGGACGTCATTACCCCTCCTACCCCTATTTATTATAAAATTTCATTAGAATTAACATATTTTGAAAGAAAAACATTTTGTTCGAGTCTTTTTAATTTATATAAATAATAATAAACAGTTACTGTTTAAAATACAAATCTATTCTTGATGTAGCGAAAATATAAAACCTTATTTTCGTTACAAAATTAAACTTATCCTATTTGTAATAAAACTATATTGATTACGTATTGTGCAATTTACTAAAATTCATTGGTTCTTAACAATGTTGCATAGTAGAGATCTGTATTTATGGCTTGTTGATTGATTTATACTGGCCCGTGCTTTGAGCTTCCTGTAGCAACTTGGAGTTTAAATCAAGCAATGAAATTATTTATATTATGATTAGTTTCTTTCGAACAACTAAAATGGAGTTTTCTCTCAAAGAAGACGAAAATTCCTTCTGATTTACGATTACTACTGCATCTCATTCAAATTGAAACTACATTTAGATCCTGAAAATTTTATTAATGTTAACATGATTTTATCTAAAATTGCAACGCTAGAAAGTAGTCGTACATTTCTTTGCGCTCTTCATTATTATTGCTAAGCCATCCATAAATGTAAGGAGCGACGATAAAATTGCATTTTCTTCTTCTTTTTTGGCGGTGTTCAATGAATAAATATATATATATATATATATATATGAAAATAAATTAGGGGTGGTCCACCCCTAATTTATTTTTTATATAAAACTTTTTGTTTGTATTTTTTTATGACACAGCATACAAAAATACATACAACCCTAAATTTTCACCCCTCTACGCAGACGTAGTCGCGAGCAGCAGCTAGTATATATATATATATATATATACATAGAGAGAGAGAAATAGCTAGTATATATATATATATATATATATATATATATATATATATATATAGAGAGAGAGAGAGGGGTGAAAATTGAGGATTGTATGTATTTTTGTATGTTGTATCATAAAAAAATAGAAATTAAAAATTTTTACTAAAAAATAAAAAAAAAATTAGGGGTGGACTACCCCTAACATTTAGGGGGATGAAAAATAGATGTTGGCCGATTCTCATACATACCTAATTAATTACCACTGTTTACAAAGGAAACTCTTAATTTTGTTTAGTTTTGAAATCGTAAGTGATTCAATCTGGTGAACTGTCATTTAACAATAATTACGGCGAAAATAGATCAAAATGCCTTGACCTAGAGCAACAGCATTCAGAAACAAACCAACAAGGCAAACCATCTTTGAACACGAACAGTGTTTCGATGTGTGTCAGGGTACATAATATCTATTTTCTCATTCGTTTGAGCATGCTATTTTAGACCTACGGTTAAGCATTATTACCGCTAACAAGTCTCAAGTATCACTCAGTAGTCCAATTTTTGCCGATGCGAGCAACACTTTTATCAACGGCAACCTTTGGCAGATATTTGGCTACATTGCCGATCACACGTATAGTATCATCGCTCCAGTTAACCGGTGGACCGAATGCCTCAGGCTTGGCGGCTAGTTTAGCGAATGACGACATCACTTCGGGGCCACACTTTAGCTGCCCGATGAACTCAGATGCCTCTTTGTACGCGGAAGCATGTATCCTCTGTATTTCGCTGCCGTTGAATGCGCAGAGTATAGTCCCGAGCGCTGTCAGGTCAAAACAGGTATAGTCCTCCGGCGATTTTCCAGCGAAGTGCACACGCACCCGATCAGCTATGGCCAACAGTTGTTCGTTGGACAGATTGTAATCAAATCCGAAATTACGTACGACATCGATGTCGCCAAGGGTCAGTTTAGCGTATTCGCTGACGCTTATAGCCGGGGTGATCCAATGCAGGGTCATAAGCACGCTGTCGGGTATGTTAGCGACGCCTTTGAAATGTCGGACGATAGACTGCCAAATGAAAGCAGCCTCAGCCGTCGGTAGCTCAACACTACCGAAGTGGGACAAACATTCGACCACTCTCGATATTGGAATTGATTTCAATTCGAACAACGTGGGCCTGTTGCCGTTAGTCAATATTTTGTGGCACTTGATATTTGTGGACGATGCCGTCATCAGTACCATCGCGGCAAATATCATTGCGCGGATAGCTACGAACGGTAATAAGAACGTTGATGAAATGAACCAATTAATATTGTGTTCCTTCTGTGGCGTATTGAATTGAAGAAGTCAGTTCATTCTTTATTCATGTTAATTCATTATTCAATTACTTCATAGCGATCCAATAGGCGTAGGCCACAATTCAATTGAAAGAAAGACTAATTTAATTTAATATTTATGATCAGATGGGTGAGTGTTAACGGCTGGTAATTTTATTATTCTAATTTTCCCTTGCTTATCACCAGTTATATGGACTGTGTAACTGACATTATTACATTTTTAGTACTTCATAATTCATATTATAAAAGGAATGCCGTCCTCGCGAGCCTCTTCATACATTATTAATATAAATGAACGCAAAATGTTCACATTCCTATAAACTGGTATGAATTGTTTGCGTAATCAACTTCAAACCCGTATAATCGTAGCTTGTTTACTGTATGAATGAAGCCCATCTATAGTCCGTGCACTAGACTATAAATTGAACAACTTTTACACGAAAGTGTAACTTTCGATTATCAATTTTCATGGCCTAGTATTTATTATCAATGAAAACCAAAAAAAAGTTTTCAGAATTTGATTCGAAAAATAAAACGTTGAGAAATATGAAACTCGTTAAGATTGTACCTGCCTTTTGGGAACTAAATGTTTGCGGATTTCAATGGATCTTTTTTACTTCCATTTGTTATGATATCCGTAATTGTTATGATCATCTTCTTATTATATATGTTCATCTCATCAACAAGTTCATTTCCTAGACATTTTCTTATAGTTTTTTTTATCATATTAATTACTATTATATTTTAATTATTATTTATAATTTATTATTAATATATATTATATTTTTTTACCATGAATATCATATTAATGTTGAGGTAATAAAATAATAGTACCTGCAGAACCTTTTAACCTGGGTTTGTTTTAGAAGAAAATTTTAACTGGCTGTTTTTCACAAAAGAAAGAACTTTAAAAAAAAGGGAAAAAAATAACAAAATCATCTGAATCATCAAAAAAATAAAAAATAAAGAAAGCAATGACCTGAAATCGAAAAATAAGTGTGTAAATGATCGTGACACGAACCACGGCCTTCTGTTTCGTGGCCGCCCAATTACCGACTGAACTATTACAACATTTTTTTCCGTGAAATTTACCGTCATATTCGAATGATATTCATTCCTTGATAACTGGGATAAAACGACATTTTCTAAAAATGAAAACTAGCCAGATCGAAAGGTATAAGATACAATAACATATTAATAATATGTTATTGTATATTATTTTCGAATCTAATTGTTAGTTGTTGGGAACAGATGATACACCCACCATATAGCCCTGACATCATGCCATCGGATTACCACTTATTTCGATCCCTGGACAACTTCCTTCGGGGTAAAACTTTCAATGATAATAACGCTGTGAAATCTCACTTAACTAAGTTTTTGACCGAAAAGGATCAGACTAAAAAATATCTTAATTCAAGAAAAAAAATGTTTTAGTTCATTTAACTAAACCCTAATTACATAATTGCCGACCCAATATTTTGTAATCTATTGATATCCATTTATACAATTTTTTATCCTTTGATATCAATTTTTATATTAATCCAGATTTTAAATTAATCCAGATTTTGAAACAATTTAATCGATTTGTTTTATTAATCTTCTGGGGTAAGGTGACCTAAGGAACGCCACTATTCGTGTGATATTAGCCGATAATAGTAGCCGAGAATAGTGATTAAAGTACACCATTGCCTTGCTAATAAAGTATTGTAGTGTTTAGTGTCCGACCGAAACTGGTTTTTACAGCCGAAATCGAAACCGAATTTCGGCAACACTCTCTGTTTCGGCCGAAACAGAAACAGAAAATTCTATAAAAAGAAAAAGAATCATGTTTTGAGGGAAAATAAATATCTTTATATCATATAGGTAGTTATGCAGTCTTCGACATTTTCACTTGTTGGTATTATAATCAACTTAACAATCCCATTAAAGAAAAAAAGTAATTGCGCCTTATAAAGACTTAAAATAGGTTTATTTGACTAGTTATATTCTGCTTTTGAATATTATTCATGGTTATTTTAAATATTTAAACATAAAATGACCTATTTAAGTTGTTACCTAATATCACAATAGGAACAGACTAAATATTTACGTAATAAACAAAACAAAATAAATCACTTTTATTTTAAGAACAAATTAACTTCTTCTAAACTTATTAGTCATTTTCTATGACTTTCAGTAAACAAAAACAAAAATGTGAAAGCCGGCAATAATTTCAGAGCCACTTTTCTCAAAGTAGTTTCGCTTCCTTAAATTTTTGTGGGACAATTTGTGAACCGGTACACGTCAGGTTAGAGATTATTTTGCGGCTTATCATAAATATTATCAGAATTTTACTTGATGCTTAAGGTGTCTTTTTTGTAAATTTATTAATTTGTAATTGTATAAAGTGTTTTACAAACACTAGTAGTGTTAAAAACCGTAAGTTCCGTAGAACATGACAGGCGTGATTTGAATGATAACTGTCACCTGCACCAAGGAATTTTTTTGTTATAGATAGAAATTAAAGAAGATTTACCTCACATCCTTATTTAGAGTTTAATTATGTTATTTTCATGAATATAATACTATTAAAGAAGTTATATGTTTTTATAGAGGGGCGAATGATAAAACATATTTTCAATTCATATTTATATAAACATATTTTAAATTCAATCATATTTTTACTTTTATTTATACGGGGGTACGCAATTGTGTCTTATTTTTAATTAATGACCTCAGTTAATAGAGACTAGAATCAAAATACAATTCGATGTCCTATAAATAGGTGGTCTTGAATACATAAAACATAAAAAGATTTGTTATTTTCTTCATTGCAATATCTTTACAGCCCTCAAATGCTAGACATCTCTCATATCGCATGCGCGGCAAATGGGTTTCTGATCAATAAACTGCAAGCCGTTAATTAATTATAGGTAAGGAGGACATTGCAGGAAAAGCTTTAACGGCTTGTCTTCACTAGACGGTGATGGGTAGATAAATCTTACTAAAATTATTTAATAATAAATAATTCAATCATTAAACAATATTCGTAAGATACAACTTCCATAATACTGTTTAGTTACATAAATCATTCTAATAATAAGAATGAACTTGTACTAAAGTATGATCTCGCCACAACTGAGGATCAAAGATGGCAGTTCCATCTCAGCGAAACTGACAATTTATAACTAGAGAAATGTTATCATTGTCAGAAGACCTCAAATAGCCATCGGGATGATCAGGACGACTGATAGAGCCTAAAAACAACAAGGCACCGCTTGATGAAGGCATAAACACGGAACCTCTGAGAGTGAATACTAATCACAACCGTATTGGTACATATTTTTAGGTACTTTGACTAGGACTAATTCGTCATCAACCTTATATTGTCATCATAGCCGCTTCGCAGGAGTGTCTTAATAATATACAGCGTGTCGTTACCATCGCGACAATAAATGAACACACGTCTAACGCTACTTGCCAATAATCATAAAAAAAATATTAACGTTAAATAAAATCCATAATTAAAAAAAAATATTTTTCAAACAGACGAATTAAGTAAGAAAGAAACAAAATTTGTAACATCCTATGCAACTCGAGCCACAGCGTCGCATTACAAGCCTCTCCTTCTAACAGTATGTTTTGTCTCTTTTAAATTCATTCAACCCATTCATATGCTTTGTGACCTTTACAAATGAACTTTACGTTACAGTTTTATATGTAAGGTTATTCTAAAATTCTTTGTTTTGGAAAATTTAATAACTCTGTAAATATTGATGTTTGAAGAATGTACATGTGTCTAATACAATTTTAAAAATTTATCCTCTATATGTGTGTTCATTTATAATCGCGGTGGTAACGACACGCTGTATAAGAGTTCTGACGATTTTACCTTGATCCTAATATTTTAACTATTACTGAATTTGAATATTATCAACTATTATCACGACAAGCAGCACTAGTGGTTATATCACCGTCCGGGAACGCAGCCGAAATCTAAGTGACCGCTGCTCCATGCGACCATGTGTCCCTTGGCTCGAGTAGATAACGCCATATCCGGTATATAGTGTTGCCAGCGCCAACATTCGGCCGTCCTGCATCACGACTTCGTCCTCGAATGGCGTTGTAGTCTGATACAAGTAACCTTCATAAAATTAACATCTTACCCTGTGGCTTATCTCCCTCAACTGGGATGCATATCGCCACGTTCAGAACACTTACGCTATGGCTTATCCTTCTCAACTCAGATGCATATCGCCACGTTCAAAACACTTACCCTGTGGCTTATCCCTCACAACTGGGATGCATATCGCCACGTTCAGAACACCTTACCCTGGGGCTTATCCCTCACAACTGGGATGCATATCGCCACGTTCACAGTTTTCATCGATTTATCAACTTAGGTAGCTTTACCGGTTAGACCAATCGTGTATTGCTACGTTGTATAAGTACCAGTGATGGTGTTTACAATGGATATCCATAACCAGTTCATGCCTTAAATTTTCCCACTACTAAAATGCTCGGTAGCTTAACCGGGTAAACCAGTTGTGTATCGCTATTTTACATTTGCTCAAATATGTTAAGTAATTAATTAACTGGAAGGTACTCACCAAAACTTTTGTTACATTTAACTAAAAGATTTTATGCCCATTACGTATAGTAAGTATAAAACACACTGTTTTATTTTACGAGGGTACCCAAGGAGAAAATATGTCGCCGTTTGATTGAACAGCCAAACGCGAGTTTTCGTATTGAATCCCACTTCTGATATAAGAGTTCTGACGATTATACCTTGCTCCTAATATTTTAACTATTACTGAACTTGAATATTATCAACTATTATCACGACAAGCAGCGCTAGTGGTTATATCAACGTCCGGGAACGCAGCCGAAATCCAAGTGACCGCTGCTCCATGCAACCAT